CCACTTTTTCTCCAATATACTCCAATTATATGTATACACAAAAAACTTACAGAAACTGCTGGCCATTTTGAATATTTTACACATAAAATGAAGACAAGATTGAGGAGAATTGCTGCGAGTCAGTGAAAATACCATGCTAGAGGAGTGAGCATGTGGATTTGTACAGCACTTGAGAAGGCGCTCAGGCAAATGTCTTCACACATACAACCCTGAATGCAAGGCCGAATCTGTGCACACTACTTTCGCCTAGAAATCCCTGTAACAATTTGCTAATTAAATAACCACACAGTCCTGTCGATTGACGCATGATGTTCATAATGATATCTTTAAAGAGTTTCTTATCAAGTTCTAAAGGCACAAAGCTATGTGAAATAAAAGAAATGTTATACATTAGCTGACATGCTAGAAAACATATTAAAATTTTGATGACTCTTTTAATGGGGAATAGTGAATCACTTTTATTCCACTTAAAGAGTGAGATGGGTTTCCACTGAAGCATCCATGATTTTTCTTCATAAAATGCAAGAAGGATTATTGAGTTCAAGTTCCTTCACTATAGGCATCCCTGTATCATTCTCTGACATCTCACTTTATTAACCATAACGCATATGTTAGAAACATAATAATTTTTAAATCACAAATTAGTTTTAATTCTCAAGTACCAAATGATCACTAAAAACAACCCTATTTCCTTTAGGCATATTTTTTTTCATTTTAGCCAGTTGTTCACTACTGTTAAAAAGAGAAAAGCTGCAAAGCTACATACAAGCAGAAAAATCGCTTCAGGACTTGTATAACTTTGAGCCAGAGTTGCATGAAATTGTAGAACCACAACTCTCCCAGGATCTTCCAGTGTGAGTTGATTAGTCAAACCAGCAGGATTATTCAGTAATGGATTCCGCTCTGGGCAATGCTAACACAACTATGCTCCTGATGAAAACTAACTAAATTTGGGCCACATTGCCTTTGACTGAAGCTCAATGTAATGATAGTACTGCTCTTTTCTACACAGCAATGAAAGGGAAAGTTGAGATAATTATGTTGGCAATTTAAGTTAAAAAGGAAATATCCAGATACTTGAGGCAAAAGGGAATTGGAAATTTGACCTACACAAATAGTAATCTGAGTTCTCGATGTCACATGGCCAATAATACAAAGTATTTAATAAATGAAGATCACTGAGCAGAGATTTCTGTCATGTCTATTGCATATGAACAGAACACCCTCCCCCAAATCCAATCTTTCCTTGCAGTCTCAGCAAAAAGTAGCGTTAATCAACACTATTTTAGTTCTCCTGCATTATTCAAATTGGAAGAGACTGATGTCATTTGCCAATAAGCTGTCAGGCAAGAAGTTCTCACAAACATGAAAATAAAACTCTTGTATCACGTCTCCTCTTACCTTGAGCCTCTGAACGAGACAGGCTGCTGTCATAAAGAAAGCGCGTAACAGCTGTCCATGATTTTAGTTCTGTCTCCTGCCAGTGAACTGGTTCCCTCTAAGAAGTGGTCTCTCCTCTCAGTATCCAGTATCCCTGTTGCTTTTGCCCCCATTAGCTCTGCTACTCTGTTGTATGTTCTTCACTTCTTCTAGCCTGTTGCCACTCCTGAGGTCATTGGTCCTCTCTCTGGTGACCAGCAGCCCCCAGTCAACTCTGTATAGTGGGCCCAATGAGCATTGTCAGGCCAGGCTCCCTTGTGTTCTGTTTCTCCTGATGGTGGGGGATAATGGGCTTGATTAGAGTTCATCACTGCCCACCTACTCATGGCCCTGTCTTTCCTCCATTTGACTCAGCTGCTTCAGCTAACATAAAATAAGATCCTCTCCTTCATGAACCCTTACCTCTAGACATTAAATATTTCACAACCTCTTTAGTTGTACTGTCAAATTTTGTTAATACTTTTATTTACCCATTCCCTATTGTCACTGGGCTGATTAGGGAGTTTTGTTTTTCAGCAGTGGGATACATCTGGTCCATTGAAATCCAGAATCGAACCAAAAGTCTGATCTTACTCTGAATAGAAGGAACTCTTCCTGATAAGTGACTTCCAAGCTTCTTCATGTTTTTTTTTTCCCTGCCTTTGGACTTGAACTGAAATATCAACTCTTCCTGGGTATCGAACCTGCCAGCTTTTGGACAGCAACTACACTGTCAGCTCTTCTAGGTCTCCAGCTTGTCAATAGCAGATCTTGGGGGACTTGCTCAGCCTCCATAAAACATGAGCCAGTTCTTTATTTCACCTTATTGGTCCTTTGTCCCTGGAGAATCCTGAATAATAGACCAGGTCATCCTTGTATTTGTTTTGTTTACTATTCCAGAACTTTTTTTAAAAAATTCAAATTATAAATTTGGATTGTTTCCTTTGTAAATAATTGAAGAACCTCATTCCCCAAAGCCACTGAGCTATGATCAGCTTGCTCCTTTTCTTATAAATATGGAATGAAGGTAAATTTGTGCAGGCCCGCTATCCTGTTGCAATTCTTTCCTGCCATGTGCTCTGGGAATTCCTCAAGCTATGCCTCATATATGCTCACAAGCAAGCTGCTCCTGTGAATTTCTCCTGCTCTATTCTCACTTCGGGAAGTTTACTGCCTATGAGGCACGAAAGGGTGGCCTTGTACTTTCCACAACTGCCATCCACCCTCATGTCCTGTGATGCTCGGAAAGCTAATTGATGACACCTGAGGGCTCAGAGTAGGCCCCACTTCTGAAAAACTGGGTGCGCCCTTCATCAGGAAAATGGCTTCTTCTTAAATCTGTGTTGCTTCCCTACCTACTCACCCCCAAGACAAAGGACTGCAGCCAGACCATACAGGAACTCTAATGGGAGACTTTGAAACTGGGCAGAAACTGAACTCCTTGTCTTTGCTGTTTTAACTGTGATCACTCAAATGTTAAAGATTACAGGCTCAGGGTCAGCACTGTGGCACAGTGGGTTAAAGCCCCTACCTGCAGCGCTGGCATCCCATATGGGGACTGATTAGAGTCCCAGCTGCTCCTCCACTTCCGATCCAGGTTGCTGCTAACGTGTCTGGGAAAGCAGCAGAGGATGGCCCATGTTGCTGAGCCCCTGCATCCATGTGGGAGACCCAGAAGAAGCTCCTGGCTCTTGGCTTCAGATTGGCGCAGCTCAGGCCATTGCAGCCATTTGGGGAGTGAACCAGTGGAAGCCCTCTCTGTTCTGTCTCTACCTCTCTCTCTAGCTCTGTCTTTCAAATAAATAAAATAAATCTAAAAGAGAAGAGGGGAGGGAAAGGGAGGGGAGGGGAGGGGAGGGGAGGGGAGGGGAGGAGAGGAGAGGAGAGGAGAGGAGAGGAGAGGAGAGGAGAGGAGAGGAGAGGAGAGGAGAGGAGAGGAGAGGAGAGGTCGTAGGCTCCATTTCAGTCAGAGCCCCAGCTCAAAGGGAAGTGTACTTCTCTCCAGCAGCTGGTCCCAAGGATACGGCTCCCAACCTAGGGCTCAGAACCCACAGGACACACTCCACTTACTTCGAGAGGCCTCTGACTTTGATGTTTCATCAGGCAGTTTCTTTTAGACTAAACCTTTCTTAGTATTTGTGAAAGTAGCAATGAGTTTTTGTTTTTGTTTTTTGACATGTAAAGTTACAGACAGTGAGAGAGAGACAGAGAGAAAGGTCTTCTTTCTGTTGGTTCACTCCCCAAATGGTTGCAAGGGCTGGCACTGCGCTGATCCGAAGCCAGGAGCCAGGTGCTTCTTCCTGGTCTCCCAGGCAGGTGCATGGGTCCAAGCACTTGGGTCATCCTCCACTGCCTTCCCAGGCCACAGCAGAAAGCTAGACTGGAGAGGAGCAACCGGGACTCGAACCTGGCGCCCATATGGGATGCCGGCACAGCAGGCAGAAGATTAACCAAGTGAGCCACGGCCCCAGCCCCAAAAGTAGCAATGAGATTTTGAAAGGAGAAACATATTTCTTTAAAAAAAAGTCAACAGTTTAAATATATTCATTTATATTTATTTTATTAAACAATCATCTTTTACATGTTATCAGACCTTACCCCTGAAGTGCAAAAAACAGTTTGAGGTATGAAAACTGAAGGAATATTTGCACATATTTTGTAAGGTTTTCATACTATAATAACCAGAAAAATCTACCATGCCTAAATATTACATGTAACTACAGATTTTAAAAACAAAGTCATATGAAACAAGCTAGGTTTATCTCATTGTAGATCTGATTCTCTCACTTATGATGAAAGGGTAGCAAAAAAATGAGATTTCAGTTACTTCCAAATGATGTATGTCCATTATTCAGATCCATAAAATGGAGTATAGAATTTAAAAGGTCAACAGCTGAAACAGTAGCCATTGCAAAAGCATAAAATCAAATTGACAGAGCAGCTTCAATGGTATAATGTCCTATTCACAGAACTTAATCCTTGGATCAATGGCAATTCACTTAAGGTATCTGAAGTACATTAATCAGAATATTTCAGTACTATCCATGGGCATACAGGGTCACATTAGTAACATGGTCAGTTAATCATATTAACATAGATAAAGTTCAAAATGGTCTTTTCAAAGTTATTTTGATGTTTACACTGAAAAGAAGAGATTGGCTTTTTAAGAGATTTAAATTTTTTATGTATCAAAAAGTTATCCAGAGATTTTACAGATCCCATTTGACTTTGTATTTATGCCCTGAAATAGAAAATTGATGCAATTACACAGCTGATCATCATAATACAAACTCTCCGAAATAGTCTGGCAAACTGGAGAAAGTATCTTTTGACTTGATTGTTAATTTAATTAATGCATAGTGTAGGCATTTCATTTGAAACAAATCTAAAATTACATAATTATCTACATGTCATCCAGTAAAATAAGTACAGAATAATAAGTCCCAAATGTTCATTAGAAATTAGTTATCACAGCACTTTTTTTTTAACTTCAACATGCCACTTCTAGTAGCTGCATGTGCTAGGGTTTTTTGTCATTGAAGTATTTGTTCAATTGTGTGGATTCTTCAATAAAGAAGAGGGTTTTGTTTTGTTTTGTTTTGTTTTGTAAGAAAATGGGCTGCTTAAAACTTAGCTTGTAAAATGTTTGGCAAAACTGATAAAATAGTCGATGCTTCTTGTACTTTACTATTACAGAAAAATAGTACTTATTCCATGGTGATTATGACACCTACAAGAAGATGTTAAAAAGAAGGCTTTAAATAATAATAATTTTAAAAAAGGTCTTTCCAGACTCTTGTGACTGACATGAAATACTGGAGATAAAGGAACACTTTTTATGGAGAGTCCAGCAAATTTCTTATTAACTACAGTAATTTCCTCTTTGTTAAGAAAAGGAATCTAACTTGTTAAAAGCCTTTGTAGGAACACTAAACTTATGTGGTAGTGACAATGTTCTCTTCCACAAGTATAGTTTGTTTTCCCACGTAATGATTCTTGAATTAAGAATGATCTTTGCACAGTTGCTTCCCTGCTGGAAACACAGCTGTGAAAGCAGCTGAACTGTTTACCTGGAAGGAGAGTTAACATGTGTTCTCACATGAACCAGAAGGAGAAAACTGAACACAGGCGCTCTGATCCAACTGAAAAATGATCTAGGGCCACTGAATATTCTTTGAGAGTTAGACACTATTTGGTACACCAATGGATGTCCTATTTTAAGACACATTTTCCAGGAGTTTCTTTTAAAATGTATGTCCTCAGACATTGAAAACAGCCAAAAAATCAAGAGGCCATAGAATGAGTAGTTAAACCTCAGGCGCGTAAATTGGCCACAACTGAAATTATATAGAATAAAAAAATTTATTTAAGGACCACATATGTGAATCTAATGCCATTGTACTGGACTTTAATGCTTGGGGTAAAATACAACAGACTCCATTTTTTCCATGTCTACCTTTTATCACCAGAAGCGATATTCAAAATAAATTTAAATAAAATGAAATATAAGGATCCCATAAGAGCTAGGTCTAGAATTTTTTGTTATTGTCAATATACCAATTCATACCATAACAATAGACCTGGCTGCATACCTAGGTAACAACAGCAATAGTATCAAAATTCTTTAGCTCTAATCATGCTGATGAGCTATACTATAGAATCTATCAACCCTACAAATACCAAATTCTGGCTGAAATTCAATTCAGATGGAACACTGACTGTATTCACATATAGTATTGTCAGTGAAGCCTTCTCCCCCAGAGCAGCTACCTGCTGCTGTTAATCAAAGACTGGATTTCTTACGCCATTTAACACCAGACTGGTGGATCCCTTCCTGTGCAGAAGGGCAAGTGAGCACAGGAGAAGGGAAAAGCTCATGACGCCCAGAATGACCAATCCCGATATCAGTGCGCTGGTGACGGTGTTCAACTGGAAAGCAGGCATACTCAGAGAACCTACAAGCAATGAAACACAGTTGTAAAGGCTCCATATCACATTTAGCTCATCTTATTCTGGTTTTATCAACAAAATATCTGTCACCAACATTTCATAGAGTAGCAGCTTGACACTGGATTATGCAATAATCTATTGGACTGTAATTGAACCTAATATCCAAAGGAGTGCTTGGTTTAGAGGTCTAATATCCCACAGGCAGCCCAAAACAAACAAAACCCCCAAACTATAAAAATTATATAAAAATTGGCAAATAAATCTCATATGAACTCAAAAATCATCACTGAACTATTATTTAGAACATAACAAATTCATAAAACCATAGGTCATTACACTTAGTTGATTACAGTTTCCTAACTGATCATCAAAAAATTTGACAGTAAAGCACTTTTATATACACACACACACACACACACACACATACATATTAATTATCTTACCAAGCTGTGAATTGTTTGTTGGTGTCTCATCTTGGAGCGAGAGTGGGGAGAAGAAATATAAAAATGACATTGTTATTCCAAGCAAGTATTTGCCTTTGTTTATTCTGCCTCTACCATTACTTTGCACTGACATTTTAACCTATATTTCCCCTTAACCTTCACCCACAAGCTGCATGAGGAAGAATGGAAAGTCTTTCTAAACCATTCTGTTTTCCCACTCTCTGTGCCATACACCCTGGATTTTATCATCCCCAAACCCATATCCTGCAGCTGTCATTGGTAAAGATAATACAAAATATACTGTGCTCTATTCATTCTGGCCAGCATTGTTTCATCATTATCACTCCGGTCAGGTTAGTGAGGGCAGTGATTGTTAAAAGCTATTACATTTTTATGGCACTAAAACCTGCCATTTGTTATTCTACTATAGAGAAATATTCATTATTTAGTACCACTCTATTTTAAATGTCACCAATTTGCCCAACATAATCTGCAAAAACATCATTTTAAGTTCCAAGAAGACAAATTCACACTTAATAGCTAAATGAAAGGAAATCATGACTCCTGTGCTGGCGCTGTGATTGTATTCGCATCTGTTAAGTGAAAAACTGAAGCTCTTGATTATTCACTTTTCCCTGGCAAACATAAAAGATAAAATGAATACATTTACTTGGTTTCCCTATTTTTTATTGTCTAATGTGTAATATCTATATTTCTATGAGCCCCTGACCTTGTATAACAAGTGGATTTCATATTTGTGATTAATATATGAATGTGTAAATGCCCGCAAATGTTGGTTATTTGAACCATAAAATGTGTGCAATTGTGCGTTTATTTCTGTTGTATAAATATTATTACAATTGGTGTGTGTGTAATGTCATGCCATTTATAAAATGCAGTTTCATATGTTTAATCCTCACAATAGCCATATGGGTGAGATGTTATTGTTACCCCCATTTTACAGATGAAGGAACTTCCATCTGTCAGAGTCTCCATAACAAATTAAACATATGTTTAAGTCAAAACTTGGTTTCAGAGTCCTTTTTCTAAAATAGTATAAACTGGCCATGTATGGAAACTATATTTGATTATGGAGATAAATAACTCAAACTATGAAACTCAGGATTAGTACTTGGTGTAATATTATAAAATAACCGGTGCTATTTCTTTTCAGATATATGAGCTTTGGCAGCAACAAGAGTTTTCTGTTATTTTATCTGGAAGTACAATGGCCAAAATTAACACGGCACTCTCACAAGATTCTTTAGAGTGTTGCAATGCATTATTTTAAGACCAAAAAAAAGAGAGAGCGAGAGAGAGAGAGCCCACAGGTTTTATTAGAGAACACTCAAGAGAATCCTAAACTCCCATTAACACTACTTTCCAAGATACTTTCTTATGAAAATATACAGGATGAAAGGGCTGTGATCATTCACCCAGAAGATCCATATACCCCAAAAATTATCTCAGACACAGGAGTGGAATATATAAAGGAAATTTTAAAAGTTCATGGAACATGGAATTAAATGATAAGTTTATTTTGGTTTAAAATTTTTTGAAATCCATGCATAAAGTTTTTCAAAATACACACTTTCCATGAATATTTTGATGACCTCTTGTAGAATGTTCTAAAGATTTCTTTTTTAAAACTTGTTTTGAAATCACACTTAATTGCTTTGAAAAAAAAGTATTTATATTGAATATCCCTACCACTTTTGACATCCTGAGTTTATAGCTGTCAGAATGTCCTCCACACTCCCCACCTACACTTGTGGGAACAATATTCTAGGTGTCACCCACATGGTCTTGGCTGTGTACAAAATCTCCCTGTGTGGGGACAAAACAACCCTGTGGCCTAATGAAAGCTTCCAGGACTCTACAAAAATAGATGAAAAAAAAAAAAAATGTGCCCTACCTTCAGCAGAAGGCTGAAACTGAAGCATGTGTGTTTACTGTTTGGAATTCGATTTGGTAGTGAATAAAGATAAGATAATTGCTTTATCTGGTTGCTATCTGGTATCCTCAAATTTTTATATTATTGTAATCAAAAACAAAACAAACAAACAAACAAACAAAAAAACCAAAGCTGTGTCCAGCTCAGAAAGGTGAAGGGGACATTTTTCCAGGAGACTTCTGTCACCACATACTTCAATTTCTCCCTCAAATCCACTTAGTCTTTTTTTTAGATTTATTTTATTTATTAGAAAGACAGAGTTACAGAGAGATGTGGAAACAGAGAGAGAAGTGTTCCATCCACTGGTTCCCTCCGCAGGTGGCCACAACGGCCAAAACTGAATACATCCAAAGCCAGGAGCCAAGAGCTTCTTCTGGGTCTCCCACGTGGGTGCAGGAGCCCATGGACTTGGGCCATCTTCCACTGCTTCCCAGGCCATAGCAGAGAGTTGGATCAGAAGAGAAGCAGCTAGGACTAGAACTGGGACCTATACAGGATGCAGGCGCCTCAGGCCAGGACTTTAACCCACTGTGCCACAGCACCAGCCCCTATCCTCTTGGTTTTGACATGTACATGCATGCTCAAGGAGTACAGGAAGCGTTCTAAAATTGGAAAAATGTGTTGGAATACTAAACTTGGTGGGCTCTTGAAAAACTATATATCTCTCTGAGGACACATAGAAGAAAGGGAATAATACAATACTACAGCCATTGAAAGCCAGAAGTTGCAAATAAAAAATCGCCATTCACTGCTTTTCTCTCATATAAAATTAAAATAAATGGAAAAAATGAACAACAGTGGAAACACAGGAGGAATCTTAAAAGGTTCATAGAAATTCTTATGAAAAAGTTATGCATTGATTTCAAAAATATTTGCACAAACTAAATTTATCTTTTCATTCCATTATTTCATGAACATTTAGAAGCCCCCTCAAATTATGCAGACTAACTATGTTTCCCTTTTTAGCACTAACAAACCACTTTGTAACACATCTTTAGTCATCTATGTAATAAAGTGGACTGCATTTTCAAGTTAAAAACCTTCAGACTTTTTACTCCTCACTGTCCTCACTGTCCTAGTCTGTCGCTTGTCTGAACTCTATAATTCCCAAGGTCAAAGTCTGTGGCATGGTTTCTGTTCTACTTCCATTTCACAGCAGAGTGCCATTCCCAGGTGGGGGCTAAGTAAATACCTCAAATGAATTATTAACTACCTATAAAACTCAACGATACTGGTTGAAATAAAAATTTGGCCTGGGCTTCTCCAAAGGAATTTATGGACACAAAACATTCAGATGTTATTGTTTCCTGGTATGCATCATCTTACAATTTCCAGTATTACGCCCTATGATAATAAAATGTTGTCTAGCAGAAGGATTAATATTTCTAGGTAAAGATAACCACAGTGGATTTGATTTCATTAGAAAATAAAACAAGAGTTCTGAATTTAACAGTTTATTAAATTTGTCCTAAGCCAGATGTCTAGGGAAAAGGACTGGTTCAATGAGTAAATAGAGCAAAATTCTCAAGTATCAGAGAGCTTTGAAGAGAGCAAATCAAGCCTGAAATTGGACTTGTCTACATAAAATCAGCCACAGAACCTAAAGAGATAAATTCCAGCTGACCTAAGGTAAAAATAAAGTGAAACCAAGGAAAGAGGGTAGCCCTGGTAGTTAAGCTGAACATAAAGTTTTCAAAGGATTTGCCTGTGGGTAGACATGGCTTGAGTTCTAAGTTCCTATGGAATTGAATTTATTTTTGTGCAGATGTTACAGTATTACAATGTAGACATAGTTATACATGATCCTCTTAGTAGTGAGGCCACCATAGTCACCAAAACTTAAAGATCCCCCTACTGCTGTTTATCAAAGATATGAAAGAATAAATCCAGAGAGAATGAAAATGACTCAGGGGGATCCCAAATGTTGAACTCATTCCCTGTTAGGGTTTTGCTGGGAGAAAGACCTGAGGGAACTCAGAGACAACCCTAATGTGTTGGGGAATAAGTGACATCTCTGAGGAAAACAGGTCAGAAACTGGAAAGGAAGTAATTCAGGCATGACATCAGAGATGTCGTGCTAGCTCTGGGAAGATTTGGCGTGGACATACTGAGCAACCAGATGGGTGAAATCTATAAGCCTGGATAACTGGGTAAATTGTGCTAGAATTAGAACTTCTATTTGGTAAATGTTTCCAGGGTTTACAGAACTTAGACTTTTCTTGGTGTTTTTAAAAATTATCTTCTACTAATAAACTGTTTAAAAAATCTACGATATATAAATTTAGTTCGACCCAAGTAAGTAAGAAGGAAGCAAGGCAGTTATTAAGCAAAAGCCATCCACTCAAGATAGGCAGAAGAGAGGTCATTTTCAAGGGTTTTTCTGATGGCAAACTGACCCCAAAGAAAAATTGTTTTCATTGCGCCTAACCACAAACATTCCTAATCACTGGCTATAAAAAATGAATTTCTATTCAATGTAATTTGAGCTATTTCTTACAGTTAAATAGAGATAAGATTTGGCCTTTTACAGACCAGTCATTTTCAAACCATTCTAAGCACATGCCAAATACTCAGGGGATACAGACTAAGTTTGAAATTTCCTATATCATAAATGTATGAATTATTTAAAAGACTCATTATTAGTTTGCTTTCAAATAATATTGTGTCCCCACAAACACAACGAAGTGAATAATTAAAGCATTTCCTGGATTTTTCAGGCCCAACCACTTTTTACTTGTTCATCCATTTCAGGTAAAACTTGCTTTATCATTGTGGGACTGTCAGTGTGGGAGAAAAAGTAAAGGAAACCTAACTGAAACATAATAACACCCTAATATAAAATAGAGAAAACATTATTAATTTACAATACAAAACAGAAGTATTATTCCTTTTGAGAATAACTTAGAACTATAGAGAAAATATCAAAGCCTAATTTTTAAAATTCCTTTTTTCAAAATGTAGAAAATTTTGCCTAGAGAAATGCAAAATCCCAAGTCACAGCCCGCTAAAACAAACGCTGTACCTAGAACTGGTTTTCTGACTTCAGTTTCAGTGCTGTTTACCCTGCACATCTGTCTTCAACTCTCGACGTCCTGTTTCACATAGACTTAAATATATATCCCTGTGTGAAGCTGGTGTGGATGTGCGTGGGCACATGTGTGTACACGCAGTTGTATACATGGGAGTATATGTAGCTGAGCAGTTGTATGCATTAGACCATATAAATTCAGGAGTGTGGATGAGTATGTCAGATGGAAGCCTGTACTACACAGGATCCTGGAAGGAAACATGGTACTCAGACTGGAAAATTTAAGGAGAATTCAGTAGGATGACTCACAAAGATGGAGGGAATGCACAAAAGAAAGTCAAGTGATCTGGGCTGTTGGGAGTGTGTTTCCAGGACCCAGAGATAGTTTCATGGGTTGAACTGTCTGGTCAGAAACATGTGAACTTCACTTTTGTTTGTGTGCTCCCATCTCTGACAGCACCACCTAGTGCTCAAATCCAATCAGAAATTAGATGGCACGGGAGCCAGCGGATGCAGTCCACATAGGTCTTTCCTAACCCGCAGAGAACAGGGAATGGAAAGGTAAAGTGAACCGTAGGGGTAATGAAGTATGTTCAGCACAGCATACTTGTGTTTGTGTGTGTGTGTGTGTGTGTGTGTGAAAAGGGAACTGTGGTAAGAGCAATATTGCCCTCTGAGTAAAAGTTTTGTAAACAGAAAACCCCTGTGAAATTAAAGTTGCTTAGCAGTTTATCGAGTCTTCCAGTTAATTAGTGCTGTCTGGGAACCTCTTTGAGCTCTCATTAGAAGCCAAGTAATGAACTATTTTTGTAAGCGTCTATTACTATGCATAGGAAAGGAGGAGCACTCCTACCACTCCGAGTAATGATAGGGCCAGCAGAGAGGACGGCGTTTCCAGAAGTGCTCTGGGGGCTCCGAGTCGTCCTCATGTCTGCATCTCTCCTTTCTCTGTTGCTGCAAATCTGAGGTGTTAATGAAAACAAATGAAATTCCACACCAGCACAAAATTGTTTCTTTATGGCCATTTGGAAAGCAGATTCTTTTGGAAGAGATACCACATGTTTAATTTTATTCATTTCCTTCTGTGCATTTATTTAATTACTTTGCATATAACTGCTACAGTATTTCTCATCCTGGTCTGGGCCACATTTCTTATTTCCTCCCGCTGTAATTGTGCACTGCCTCATTAATTTACATAGCTCAGTGGTTCTCCTGGAAAAGAAATAACTGTGTTTATCAAACTTTTCCACTTTTGTAACTCTCAAGACTTTAATAAATCCTTGCATGAAATGTTGGCCAGCACGGACCTAAGGTAATGTGGACTCCTACCTGATAGAGCTAGAAAGTATCAAACAGATCAATGACTGTGAAGCGAAGCTTCCCATGTATGCATGAATGCAGCATAAATGTAAACACACAAGGAGACTTCAAAAAGTTCATGGAAATGGAAATAAAAGTTGAGTATTTTAGTGAAAAAAATTTGGAGATCCATGTATATGAATATTAAATCTACCTCAGATTTAAAGATTAGTCTGCATATTTTTCAAGTTATTATCAGTGGATCCTAGGGACCAGGTAGGAATCCAGTTTTTTTTTTCTATTTATTTTTAAATGGGTCTGCATTTCAATGATGGCTGAATGCAATTCAGAGACACAACTTTTACAGCTTTTAACTATTAATCCAAGGATGCTGAGCCATCTGGTCCTTCTTAGCACCAGCCCAGCCCCGACTCCAGGCTTTCCCATCATCCTTTACACTGCTCCAGAGCCTCACCAGAACTAGAAGATCCTTGATTACCCTGTGTCATGTGTCTGTGACTTTGGCCAGCTTTTAGTAGGAAATGTCTTTCACACTTTGACTATCCCTTTTTTGGGTTTTTACATCTTCAAAACCACAGCTTGGGTCATTCCCTCCCCCAAATCTCCCAATCTTTACTCCATCTCTCTCATAGTGGTGAGAACTGCCTCTTACTACAGCCAATATATGTCTTTGACTTTGCACTACACAATTTTTGCCTTGCTTCCTTTCATGATTATCTCATAATCCTAAGGGATAAGCTAATTTAATTCAGAATTCACAAATACTTCAACTTTACATCCCCAGTACAATGTTTGGCACAAAGTAGGCATTAAATAAGTCCTTACTGGATGAATGAATAAATTATATTTCAAATTCTTAGACCTAATGCATATCTACTTTCTGTATAGAAATTAGTTCCTGACATTTGATACCCTTTCAGGTTAGGTCAATTCAACAATTTAGAATAAAGTTGCTTGAAAACGTACTGGCATAAGGAAGGGACAGTCATCAGCTCTGCAGAGCTTGGTAACACAGTGCAGGAAGACAGTAGACATCTTCTGATTCTTGTGCTTCACAAATCGGAACACTTCAAAAGAGAATCGGCCCCGCTGGCTTCTGCCATTTTCAATAACAGTAGTCTGAGGGTCTTTGTCACAGCTGTATTTTAGGAAATGTGAAAACAGGACATCACTGGAGAGAACCAACCTACTGGGACTTGTAAATTAATTTCTACAGTATTAAGGGTATCCCCATTCCATTAAAAGCTAACAGAACCATGCCATGTTACATCTATTAAATAAAAGTATATGCTAATTCAGTAGAAATGACAAGAGTAACCTGGACCATAGAATTTATAACAGAGCAGTTTCTGATTATAATATTACGGTCAAGTTTTTGGAGGGATGAACTTTCATAAGGTTAAAAAATCTAAGTAATATAAAATACATAAAGTAAAAAGCCTCCCTTTATCTTTGCCATCCTTGTCCACAGATTTCAAAATACATGTCTATATTCAAGCCTGCTGGAGGTGATCTCACTTATTTTTGCATTCTCCTGAGGCACTGGAAAATAGATACAAAAGCAATATACTCTTATTTTATCCTCCTTTCTTTAAACAAATGATAGCCTTCTGTCTACACTGTTTGAACCTTTTTAAAAGTTAGCAGCAAAGATGGGCATTTGATGCAACAATTAAGATGTTGGTTGGGACACCTGTCTCTCAAATCAGAGTGCCTGAGTTCAAATCCTGGCTGCACTTCTGACTTCAGCTTCCTGCTAATATACATCCTGACAGCAGTGATGGTTTGTTTTGGAGTCCCTGTCACCCACATGGGAGAATCAGACTGAGTTCCAGTTTCTTGGCTTTGGTCTGGCTCAGCCCTAGCTATTCTGGGCATTTGGGAGAGTGAACAAGTAGATGTGAGCTCTCTCTCTGTAAGCTCTCCAATAAATTTTTAAAGCAATAATGAATAGACTTGTAATACATAATTTTAAATACGTACAGTGTCATCTGTCAAATACATAGCTAGGATCCTTTGATAGGTATTACCATATTATCTTCTATATATGTTCCATTTTGAACTTTACCAGCCATTTATAATAACAATTCTTATTTCTCCAAAGCCATATCAACAGTGTTAGGATAACACTTTCTATTGTTCCCTATTTGGAAAGTGAAAATAAATGATGTCTCTAACATTTTAATTCACATTTTTCTGAGAGTAAATGAATTATCTCTCTTTTCATATAAATTAAAGCCATCTGTACTTATTTATCTTAAAATTGTTTATATCATTTTCTCAAATTCTATCGTGTTGTTGGCCTTTCTCTTTATGATTCTTTCCTGACTTTTTAAAAATGTATTTATTTATTTTTGCATTGAGAGACACAAGTCCTGGCTTCTTGGCTTGTTATATATGTTGTAAATTGTTCTGCATTGCAGTTGTTTTAGACATTACTCTGTACATACATGTATGTGTCAAGGGGGTGGTGTGTGTACAGTTTTGGTTTTATGGAGTTAAGTTTTCAAAACCTTATTTTTCAAATTCTTATATATGAGATGAATGTTATTTCCATATTCTAAAGTTTTAGAGTCATTTTGTATGTTTTATTCTATCACTTTTGAGCTGTAGTTTTCACATTTAAATTAATAATCTACAGTTTATTAAATGTGTTGAGATCTAGTACTACTTTTATTGTTATGCATTATTAATCCCAGTTTTTTTAATCCTTCTTTATCATATTGAGTGTTGTACCACATTCTATCATATAGTAAATTTCCATGTGCTTTGGGATCCATAATTTACTATTTTTGGTTTTTGTCTATGTGTTTAATCTTGCTTGATATTGAATTGCTTTAACACATTTTAAAGCTTTTATTAACTATTCCATTAGATGGGACAATATGCTCCTCATACCCATGTCAATTTGTCACTTATCTTTTTATATTTTTTGTCTTTATTTTTTTCTGTTTGTTTCATTTCTTTTTGAAAGACACAGAGAGACTAATAGAAATTTTCTGCCTGCTAGTTCACTCCCCAAATAATCATAGTAACCAGAATTAGGCCAGACTGAAGTCAGGAGCCCAGAACTCCATCCAATTTTCCCATGTGGGTGGCAGAGACCTAAATACTTGAGCCATCACCTGCTGCCTTCCAGGGTGCATATTAATAGGAACCTATAATTGGAAGCATAGCCAGGACTCAAGCCCAAACACTCCAATAGTATTTTTTTCTTTTATTTTTATTTAGTAAATATAAATTTCCAAAGTACATTTTATGGATTACATTGGCTTTCCCCACCCATAATTTCCCTCCCATTTGCACCACTCCCACTCCCTCTCCCATTCCATTCACATCAAGATTCATTTTCAATTATCTTTGTACACAGAAGATTGATTCAGTATATATTAAGTAAAGATTTCATCAATTTGTACACACACAGAAACACAGAGTGTAAAAATACTGTTTCAGTACTAGTTATAGCATTACTTCACATTGGACAGCACATTAAGGACAGATCCCACATGAGAAGTAAGTACACAGTGACTCCTGTTGTTGACTTAACAATTTGACACTTTTGTTTATGGTGTCAGTAATCTCCCTAGGCTCTAGTCATGAGTTGCCAAGGCTATGGAAGCCTTTGGGTTCACCGACTTCGATCTTATTCCAACAGGGTCATAGTCAAAGTGGAAGTTCTCTCCTCCCTTCAGAGAAAGGTACCTTCTTCTTTGATGGCCCTGTTCTTTCCACTGGGATCTCACTCACAGAGATCTTTCATTTAGGTCTTCTTTTTTTTTCCCAGAGTGTCTTGGCTTTCCATGCCTAAAATACTCTCATGGGCTCTTCAGCCAGATCCGAATGGCTTAAGGGCTGATTCTGAGGCCAGAGTGCTATTGAGGACATCTGCCATTCTATGAGTCTGCTGTGTATCCCGCTTCCCATATTGGATCATTCTCTCCTTTTTTGATTCTATCAGTTAGTATTAGCAGACACTAGTCTCGTTTGTGTGATCCCTTTGACTCTTAGACCTATCAGTGTGATCAATTGTGAACTGAAGTTGATCACTTGGACTAGTGAGATGGCATTGCTACATGCAATCTTGTAGGGATTGTATTGGAATCCCTTGGCACATTTCTAACTCCACCATTTGGGGCAAGTCCGATTGAGCATGTCCCAAATTGTACATCTCCTCCCTCTCTTATTCCCACTCTTATATTTAACAGATATCACTTTTCAGTTAAATTTTAAGCACCTAAGAATAATTTTGTGTTAATTACAGAGTTCAACCAATAGTACTAGAACAAAAAAAAATACTAAAATGTAAAAAGTGTTACATTATACATCAACAGTCAGGACAAGAGCTGATCAAGTCACTGTTTCTCATAGTGTCCATTTCACTTCAACAGGTTTCCTTTTTGGTGCTTAGTTAGTTGTCACCAATCAGGGAGAACATACGGTATTTGTCCCTTTGGGACTGGCTTAATTCACTCAGCATATCATATGTTCTCCCTGATCGGCGACAACTAACTGAGCACCAAAGGGGAAACCTGTTGAAGTGAAATGGACACTATGAGAAACAGTGACTTGATCAGCTCTTGTCCTGACGGTTGATGTACAATGTAATACTTTTCCATTTTAGTATACCAATCCCAAAGGGACAAATAACATTATGCTGAGTGAATTAAGCCACTCCAATAGTATTTGTCTCTTATCTCCGTCTTCTTATTGATTAGATTAGCAAATGTTTCTCTGCTTTTTCAAATAATCTGCTTTTCTTAATTTACTGAAAAATATTAGTTCACATTTCCATTTTTGATATGTGTCATTAATTGTCTTTTTAAACTTCCAGTACTTTGTTTTCTGATATTATCACAAATTGCCGTATTCAATATGCAGTTTACTGATTATGTGAGTTAGATCTTTGACAATATTTAATTATTGGCCACCAGAATTAATCTTTTTCAGAGGCAGATTGAATTATCTGAATTTGTAGTGTTTTTAACTATGTCTTTTTATATACTCCCCATTTTATCTTATGAAAGCTTCAGATTCACCCAAAGCAACTTTTCACTATGCAGGTTTCAGTTTTTATTTAGCAAAGTTTCCTGGATTATATTTTTAAATATTTTTCTACTATTTTTGCTATTTATGGATATTATACACATATTGAATTCCCTTTATCTACCTTTTATTTCTATCTCCCCTACTCTAATCTTTTTTTATCTTTTTCTTTATATTTGTTTCTTTTCATTTGCATTTTAAAAATGTTTATCCTTAAAGTCCCCTATTGTACTTTTTGCTGTGTCAGTATTCCCTTGAATGTTTTCTAATTATGTCTTCCTTTCAGTAATGTAATTATCTTTCCTATTTGGGTCCTATGTTCTTCTTATTACATAGCTTTATCTTTTATTGTCCTATACCAAGCTACCTGAGTTCTTATAGTTCCATCTCTGTAACTATTATTTTTAAATAAGCTTTTTATTTCAGAATAGTTTTAATTTACAAAACAAAATATGTGAAGTAGTACAGAGTTCCCATTTACTCCACATTCAACTTCCCCTATTACAAACATCTTATTAATATATTAATCATGATTATTATTTTTAATTAAAAATATTGGAATCTTTAATTACAATTTTTAACTTCCATGACAATCTTTTTTTCTGATGATTTTAATTCATCTTTAAATTTTTCTGTCATTTTGACATTTTTCTCATAGCATATTAGAAAACTGCAAGAAATGCATGCATTTATTTGTCATCCCTATTTGAAAAAGTTAGATTTCCCTGGACAGATTTTCAGAGGACTCCTAAGGCAATGTGGAACAGTAAGAACCTCTTCAAGAGTTTTTTCATCCCTAGGGCTCCCTCTTCTGTTTTGCCACAGGCAAAGTGTCTGGCTGTGATGCTGTGTGGTAACTGCACAACTGACTTTACCTCTCTGAGCTTCATTCTTAAGAGTTCTAACAACCCTGAGTTCCTTGGATTCATTGACCAGCCTTGCCTCCAAGGCTCAAGCTCCTGCTTTCCCAGGGACTCCTTCTCCTGTCGAAGGAGTGCATTTGCAGGAAGTTGATGCAGTCTTCCCCTTCTGACGCTCAGCACACTCTCTGCTCCTTCATCCTTCATGTTCCCCAGCCCTGGTGGTTCTTTATTTCAGTCCTACTCTTAGCACCTGTCCCCCAGAGGAGTGCCCTCTGCTTCTGGGAATGCGTTTCTGCTGGTTGCTCCTGGAATCTGCCGCACTCAGACCCCTCAGCTTTCTCTTTTCATCCATGCCTTTCTCACCACCTCTTCTCACACTACTGCCAGCAAGCCCCTCTCTGTACCATTTCTCCTGGTCTTAGCCACTTGTATCAACACTAACTCTTTTTTAATATCAAGGTTTTTTTCATTAAACAATATATTGACTAAAAATAACATTTTTGTGAATTTTTTTTATTTTTTAGTGCCCATTTCATTCTCTATTGTTTCCAGTAAGAAAACTGAAAAGATTCAGAACCAAAAGATGCATTCTGGAAGTCTGATGATCATATTCCAGATTAGTAATGTGTGGTCATTATAGAAACTTTAGGAAGTAAGATAATGTCAAAACTCGATGATCCATAACCCCACCACGTACCAATCTCCATATGAACCTGTGGGTGTTTTTCTTTACAGTCATTTCTGTCATATAAGTGAGGTATATTTTATATAGAATGTGTATGCCAAGTCATTCCCTTCACATACTAATATAATTAAATTTTAAAGAATCATTTATTTCCAAGGACAGAAATATCAAGAAGACAAGAAAGAAACTAAAACAGAACTACTTTTTGCATTTGAGAAATGACTTTATAAGACTGTGGTACCTGTGTGAACTCTGAACTTACTGGGTCTCCATAATTCACCTACGCGCTTCCCTATTGCTGAATACATAGTTTTTTCCTATGTTACACTATTTTAGCTATCATTGATAGACTAGAACATCATAATTATTTTAAATACATTTATGACATCTGCTAAGGATTTTGATGCATATTAACTTTTCACTCCCAAAAAATGCTGCACAAATTAACACTGCCAACAACATGATTCATACCCTTTAAACATCATCTTAACCTTGATAGGCAATAAAACATATTCTTTTGGTTTCCCATTATATTACTCCCATCATGTGTCAATAAGCTGCAGTGATCTGAGCCAACTGCATTTTACAAGGTGATTAGGAGACATTGCTTGACTATCAAGTCTGTTCTGCTGTCAGATAAAAATGCTGAAAGGGAACTGGAATGACTGAATGGTTTTATGATCAATGTCCCCTTTTCCCAAATGTAGATTACATTCACTCTATCACTGTCTATTGGGGAATGAAATTGAAGTTATTGGCTCTGATGAAAAAGGAGTGGTAGACAATATTATACTTCTTATTAACTACTGATAAATGAACAAAAGCATCTTTGGGGTCTAAATTATCCAGTCCATTACTTTAATTTTACTCCACTTTCAACATATGATGAGATGGCCCAGTTGCAGATAAATAATTCTCTCCCATTGCCTTTCTCTTATTGTGAAAAATCTAACCATGCTTTTCCTATGACAGTGAAATATTTTCACATCTCCCAAACATGAATAAAACATCTTTGGTATACGTAACTTACTTACCACTCTCATTCAACAATGGCATTATCAGCATTTTGTGTTGAAAACTTAGCTCAACTTTTTACACTTCCAGCTTCAGAAGGACTAAAAGTTCAAGATGTAAAACTTTCAGTTCAAAAGCTGTAGCAGTGCCCTATCATCTCTTTATCTCACTTTGATTTTCCATTTCAGTTATCTATAACTGGGTCTTTAGTAGCAACCCAAGATATAGACACCTACCTAAGGAAGAGATCATATCGAATATCATCATTTGGGTTCCCTGATGGGGTCGTGTAGCAATAATCCATTAAAACATTCCATCTGCAGAAAGAGGCAAGCACAATCTAGAGTTAGAATCTCCCTCTAGGGGCTGGTTATTAATTCAAAGGAAGTAATTATTGACAAAATCTTAACCCGTGGAATATAGTTTACATTTCTTGTGATTTACAGAGGCTTCTTATTTATTAAAATCTTATCCTCAGCTCAAGACATTTAAAATTTTGCAACAAACTGTCATCCCCTCATTGAGTGTAGTTAAGGCTAATACGACACACAGACAAATGCACACACACACACACACACACACGGAGAGAGAAACATATGTGAATGGTCACAATCTGGGGAAACAAAACCTGAAAGTATACTCCATAGGCAGGTACATGTTTATATACTCACAACGAACAATGGTTTCATTCCCAGAAGTTACTATCTTTGACAGAATACAGAGAATATTATAATATCAAATACAGCAAATACTGTATATAAATCATACACCAGAATCTGTTGGGGGTAGGAGTGTGAATACATAATAAACATTCTGTTAGGAAGAAGAAAGCCATGAGACAAATTCACAACCTTTTCCTACAAGGCCGGATTGTGCCTAGATTTATGATTTACTTCATTCCAACTCTGAGTGTTATTTTTAAAAAATACTGATTCATGGTAAAAGAATGTCAATAAAATGAAAAAAAAACACATATAGTAAGAATTTCAGAATCATGTGTGTCTAAGAACAGAAATGTCAAGAAGACAGAAGGGGAGAGGGTAAAAAGAGTCAAATTCTTTTTTTTTCCTTTTTTTTCTTTTTTTTTTTTTTTTTTGACAGGCAGAGTGGACAGTGAGAGAGAGAAAGGTCTTCCTTTGCCGTTGGTTCACCCTCCAATGGCCGCCTCGGCTGGTGCGCTGCGGCTGGCGTACCGCGCTGATCCAAAGCTGGGAACCAGGTGCTTCTCCTGGTCTCCCATGGGGTGCAGGGCCCAAACATTTGGGCCATTGTCCACTGCACTCCCTGGCCACAGCAGAGAGCTGGCCTGGAAGAGGGGCAACCGGGACAGAATCCGGCACCCCGACTGGGACTAGAACCCGGTGTGCCGGTGTGCCGGCACCGCAGGCAGAGGATTAGCCTATTGAGCCGCGGCGCTGTCCTAAATTTCTAAAGTATACTAATCTCATCAGGATGCAAACTGTAAATAATAATAAATGAAACCCCAAATAAACCATTTCTATATGACTTTTTTATAGGATGGGGCAAGATCTTCAGCATTTGAGTGTCTTTCCAGTTTTGATCATTCTGAGTGTTCTAAGCATCATAAGATACTTGATTGATTTTTAAAATTTTTTGCAGAGGTATTCCTGCAGATTGTTTTAAATAATTTTGCCCCAGATTTTGGAGGAAGAGTTCTTCCATTTTTTAAATAAATTAGTATTGAATAATAACATACATTAAAAAAGTGTACAAATCAAAAGTGTTCACAATGACTGCATCTGGTTTTCATCTTGCAACCAAAGAACCAATGAGCCAGAAGACATCCCCAAGCCCTTCTTCAGTCACTACCCTCTCATCTTTATGGGAGATTTTTTTTCTTCTTTTTTTAATGAATGACATAGTGTGATTGTCACCCTTTTAACTTTATAATTTGTTATTTCTTTTTATTAGTATTCTTACATGGTATAGTAATGACAGTGTTTTTCAAATTGATTTAAAAGTGAATGAGCTAACATTACTCAGGAGGATTTGGACACTTTTAACTAACAAAGGAAAAGAATTTAGAAATACCTGCCATCCAGATTAGTGGCCTGTACAGCTGCAAACACTTTGGTTTTCAAAGGTAATCCTATACTCGGAATAATTAGCTGCTGACTGTAGGTTGAATCCTAATGATGAAACAAAAAACAGTCTGTCATTACCTTCCCAACAACAGCACACTTACCATTTAAAACACTAGTCTTATGGAAAAAGAAAAGTACATCACCATAGTTCTACACAACAAACACCTAGAGGATTAATTTAATCCTTTGATTTCTTGCAGAATTGCTCTTAAGCCATAATTATGTAACAATTTTATCTCCATTCATAAATCTTTTTGTCCCATGGTTCAACCATGTATGTATTCAATGGTCTTTAGCTATTCAGTTTACTTAATGTTCAGTAGTCAATGGGCACATTTCTTAGATTAAAATTCCATTTATTGAAAAATAATGGTGGATAACATTATATTACATTTATTTATATTATATTTGCTTCAGTATAAACCATTATTGTTATAATTGTAGGTCTTATATATCTTTTGATAATGTTTAACTTATCCTAAATTACTTATGTGGCTATTTAAAATCACCAAAATTTTATTAAGAGCTAATAAGGAGACCAACACCATCTCTTAATTGCCACACTGTGTGATATGGAATTCCTGCGCCAAATTCTTCGGCACTTATTTATAGAAGGTTATCTCAGGACTTCATTTTATTTTTTTTTACCTTTATTTTAGATAATTTTTAGTGAGTTTATTTATATCACTGCAATTACTATAATTATTTATTTCTATTTACTTATTTTAACTTATTTGAAACGCAGAGAAAAAGACAAAGATAGACATGTGCCCTCTGTTGGTTCACTCTCCCAATGCCTGCGAAAGCTGGGGCTGGGCCTGGCTAGGCTAAAGCTAGCAGTCAGTCTGGATTTCCCCTGTGAGTTGCAGGGACTTAAGCACTTGATTATCATATGCTACCTCCCATGGTGCACATTAGCAGGAACCTGGAATCAGAAGTAGAGCAGGGACTCAAACCTTGGCACCAAGATATGGGATGAAGGCGTCTGAGTCACTGTGCCAAACGCCTGCCCCTTTATAGTAGATTAAAGCTGCAGAGTAGAAATTAATAAGTGGCATCTATCACACAATATTGAAGAAAAACGTGGAACAAGTTGTAAACACATTTTAAAATGCAAAATTTAAACAAATAATTTAGCTTAGAGACCAATTATTTCCTCAAACTCTGCTGAAACTGAAAATTTTACTGTTTTGCAGCAAAGCAAAAATGTTTCTAATGTTCCCTGAGAAAGCTTAAAGTGGCCAAGGGAAGTGAAAACATGGAACATATTCTGTATAGAAAGCTGGGAAGAAAGCAACATATTTTGAATTTTTAAAATGAAAACAGTGATGGTTTCTATATTTATATTTTTTAAATTGCATTCATGTGGAACATTGCATTCCTGAACAAATGAGGAATTATATGTAATACTTCAAAACTGCTGAATGTCAGTCTTATTTTCTGTATTCCTGAGATAAACCATAAAAGCTACTCTAACCAATCCAATAAATAGCATTTTTATTGAATTACCTCACGGCTCCCTTCTCGAGCTTCTTCGAGCAAACCACACTACATTAATTATAGCTCTTTCATCTTACGTTTGCATCAATACTCATGTTGTCCAGAAGAATGCTTACTTTCTTCACAAGTGGTTTACTTCTGAGTCATTGCAAATGACCTGTGATCCAGCTCAGGTTTAATTAAGAATCATCAACTTTTTCCTTCTGAAATTGTTTCTAAGAGATAATTTTGTGATAGTTTTGTATAGTTATCTAACATATAATTTTATATAGCTTCCTTTACTTTTATTTGTTCTATATTGTCCTTAAAATCAATTATATTTATTTAGCTTTACCCCAGCTTTTAAAATCTATTTATAATTACAGATTAATAAATAACCTACACATATGGAAATATCATCAATACATGTCAGTATTTTTCATAAGTATAATTTCCTTTTTGAAAAGGATTTATTTCATTTATTGGACATGGAGATAATGAAAGAGAAAAAGAGAGATAGAAACAGAAAAAGAGATTTTCCATCCTTTTTATTCACTCTTCCAAATGCTCAAAATAGCTAGGCTGTGCCAGGCTGTGCCAGGCCAAAGTGGAGCTAGAACTCAATCTTGATCTTCTGCACGGATGGCAAGGACCCAAGTACGTGAGCCATCACCTGCTGCCCCCTACGATGTGCATTAGCAAGAAGACATGCATTAACAGTAAGCTGGAATGGAAAACAGAGCTGGCCCGTAAACTTGGGTATAAGATGTGGGCATGTGATATGTGATGCAGGCATCCCAAGTGGCTGCTTCACTTCTGGGCCAAATACCTGCCACTATAAATACAATTCTCTTGAGAACATGTGCTTAATCCCAGAATCATGGAAATAAACAATTGTGTAAATCCCAATAGGGTACAACTTTGTCCCTTCAAATAACAAACCAGGAAATAAGAGTAGTAAGTATGCAGTATTACTTTTCATCATCCCTAAACACAATTACACATAACACTTTACAAACTATTGATGAATTCTTTTCCCTAAACATTAAAATAAAAAATTTCATATGAAATGCCCCCAGTGACCATGCATGGACATCTGATTTGAAATGCTATAATATTATATTTCAGTAGCTAAATGTGTCAAGCAAATAGCAAATATAATTTGTGATCAATTTTTAAAAGTATATCATATTTTCCTATGAAAACTACTAATTTTTAATGTCCTGTGACATGACAAGATATCATGATAGCATCATGTTTAAAAACATGTTTGGTGCAGTGACATTCTTCTGTATGATACAGTAATGACAGATATATGCCACTTGATATAATGGTCAAAATCCAAAGGAAGAATTAACTAAATGTAAACTATAGACTTTAGTTAATACTAATATATCAACATTGGCTCATTGAGTATAATAAATGTAACATACTAATATGAGATATAAATTATAAAAGAAATTGTGTGTGCAAGGCTTTGTACTTCCCAGTCAAATATTTTGTAAACCTAAAATTGTTCTGGAGATGGCGATGTGACATAGCGAGTGAAGCCGCTGCCTGCAGCGTGGGCGCTGGTTGGAGGCCCAGCTGCTCCACTTCTGATCCAGCTCTCCGCTATAGCCAGGGAAAGCAGTGGAAGATGGCCCAAGTCCTTGGACCCCCACACTGTGTGGGAGACCTGGAAAAAGCTCCTGGCTCCTGACTTTGGATTGGCGCAGCTCCTACTGTTGTGGCCATTTGGGGAGTGAACCAGTGTATGGAAGACCTTTCTCTCTATCTCTCCCTTTCTCTGTAATTCTACCTCTCAAATAAATAAATAAAAATCTTTTTAAAAAATGAGAAGCATTTTTGTACCATCTATTTTAATTATAGTCTGATATCAAAAAATTGGTTGGAAGTGAAATTGACACTATGAGAAGCAATGACTTAAACAGCTCTTGTCTTGACTGTTAAGAAAGTTTATTATTTTATTTTTTATTGATTTTTTTCTACTTAATACCATTGGTTGAACTCTTCACTTACCATAGAATTAATCATATGTGCATAAAGTCAATTGAAGATAGATCCCAGTTAAAAATAAGAGTGGGAATAAGAGAGGGAGGAGCTGTATAGTTTTGCACACATTCCCATGGACTTACCCCTAAGGGAAAAGCTAAAAACTTGCTATGGGACTCCCATTAACCTAGATGGTAATAATGCCATCTTATGTGTTAAAGTTATCATATTGAGTGTTTAGTTGATCATATAGATAGGATTAAGTGTCAAGGGGATAACAGAAATAAGACCAAGTATCTGGTAATAATAATAGATAGAATTAAAAAGGAGAGAATGTCCAACATGGGAAGCAGTCCACACAGCAGATGTAAAATGACAAATGTGCTAAACAGCACTCTGACCTCAGAATCAGACCTTAAAGCACTCTTGACTGATAAGCCCAACAGGGCATTTAGGCATGGAAAGCCAAGACACAGTAGCAAAAAAATAAAAGAAGCCCTAAATGAAGGATCTCTGAGTGAGACCCCAGTAGAAAAAAAAAAAAAGTGGCCATCAAAGAAGGAGGTAGCTTTCTCTGAAGGGAAAAGAGAACTTCCACTTTGTTTATGGCCCTGTCTAAATACTGATGGAGTCTGTGGATTCAAAAGGCTTCCTATAGCCTTAGCAGCTCATGAAAAGAGCCTCAGGTGATGACTGACATAATTAATAAGAGTGTTAATTGTTAAATCAACAACAGGAGTCACTATGTACTTACTCCCCAAGTAGGAACTCTGTCCTTAATGAGTTGTGCTATGAGAATTAACTGTAAAACTTGTTCTCAAACAGTACTTTATACTTTGTGTCTGTGTGTAGGTGCACATTGTTGAAATCTTTCCTTAAGTATAGAGTTGGTCTTCTGTACATAAAGTTAATTAAAAATGAATCTTGAAGAATAGGATGGGAGAAGGAGTAGGAGGTGGGACAAGAGTGGGGATGGGAGTACAGGAGGGAAGAACCACTTTATTCCTAAAGTTGTACCCATGAAATTTGCATTCATTAAATAAAAGCTCTCTTAAAAAAAGAATGGTGGAATTGGTAAAAAAAAAAAAGGTTGCATTTTTACCATAGAATTCAAATATTTAGGTTATTATCAAATTGTAGACTTTTACTTAGCATTAAGATTCAAGAATTTCATGTTAGCAGGATTACAATATCATTTCTATTGGTTTATAACAAAGCTCTTTCCAAATTCACATTTCTAAATCTGATTTTATGCTTTTACACTGATAGTATAATTTAATTTCAAAGAAAATTAACTGTCATGTGGATTTCCTTTTTTTTAACTTTTTAACATTGGGGATGCTCATCTTTGTCTGATTCAGTTTTAATAAATATTGAACACAAACTAGTCACCTGAATTCTACCACAAAGAACTTACATAAATCAATAGGTAGAATCATCTCAATTTATAATTATTTATAGAACTATTGCTCCCAGCAATAATAAACATCTGGTGAGGTCAGGAATGAATATTACCATACATTTGCCGAGTAGTATAGAGGCAAGTAACTTGGCAACTTCTCTTTTGCAAAATAAAGTTTAGAACTGACAGAAAGGCAATCTTCATTCCAACACATTTTAATTTGTTGTTTAGAACTCTGTGGTGACAGACTACAAACTTATAAACATGATTTTTTAAATGCCTTTGGAAAATGTCCTACTACAATATTTATAGCTCATTATATTCAAAGTATAAAGTACTGACTTTTAAATCAGTTGCATGAATTATAACTCAGTGCCATGATGACATGAATAATAATGCAAAAATCAGATTCATAATTTACTAAAATGTGGGTTGATAGATTGAAAAATTGATATTTAAATCAGGCATTTAAAATGTATGAATAAAAATTTTTAATCAACATGAAAATATCATTTGGGGGATTAATGTTACAGTTATAAATAGAAATTCATGTATTTTTCACATTTTGCTGCCACTGTTGATATTTACATGACAAAACTTTAGTAGACAATGCTATGTAGTAGATCTGAGTTATTTCAGAAGTGATAGAATTATCACTAGTCAAAGCTCATATTGAAAATATTAACACATTCGTCACCAATGATTCCTCAAGAAGCATAATTTGGACTGTTTATATCTTATTATCACAAAAAATATGATTCCCCAATCAACCCTGATATGGCTATACACACATACTTATATAAGCATGCATAAATAAATATATACTTGGAAATGCAGGTAGACACTTTAAGTATTACAGAATCATATTGATCATGTAAAATTCAAATCATTTATCAGCTTTTACAAAATTAATGGGGTTTTTAGTATACCTTTATCAATAGGACATATGAAAATGGTGGTAAAAATGGATAAATGTTAGCAAAAGTGTTGTAGGGTTAATGTGGCTTTCAGCAGATTTTTATAGAGAAGCATTCGCATAAATGGCTCCTCCCAATAGTGAAAGAGAAAACAGCATCCTTCACCCATCAGCTTACGTTATAAAGGAGCAGGTTCAAAGTGCTGACAAATGTTCCATTGTTTTCTCTCACAGAAATAGCAGCCGAGGACCTAAAACAGATTTAGAAGAAGGAAAGTGTTGATTAAATTTTAAACCAGAAGTTTCAGTTAGACCTGAATGTTAAAGTTAAGGCAATAAAACTCTTCAGTAAGCTGTCAGACTTTTAGCTGGGCCTGGAGTGGGCATACTGCTTAAATCAACGAAGAGATAAATAATCAAAAAGCAAGGAAGATCAAATATAAAGACAAACTGTTCTTTATGATCTTTTTATTTATAAAGTCATCCTTTTTCACTCTGCATTATATATATATATGAGACTTTTTGCAGAAAACCCTCATTTCATAAGAAATTGGATCTGATGGAAATATGCTTTCATCAGTTCCATTATTGTTTCATGAGATCAGGATTTTGTTTTACTTTGCTGCTATTACATGGCATGGTAAGTAGTAGGTGTGTAATAACTACGGATGTAACAAATGATTTTCCATGGATATTGCAGCTTCAGAATGTGTTCAATGTGGGGATGAGGGGGAGCAGAGGGAGATATCCTCCTCTCTACAACCTATATTCTGTTGACACAAGGCTTTTCTTTTCTCTGCATTGAAGTCTTGCTTTTGTTCAAGTTTCTTTTTTTTTTTTTAATTATCACTGGGCTATTAACACTGATGACGATTATTTTTTAACAGAAGCAGAATGTGACTTCTATGTTTTCATATAACTAAGATGAAACAAAAAGTAGGACTTTTTTAATAGCAAACTATAAAACTGGAGACAGAAAAATTCCTCTTAATAATCACTTCATTTTGTCAAAAATATTTGACAAATACAGGTGATTACATTGTAACAGATAAAACCGTGTTCATTGAGTATGTGCTTTGGAATAAATAAATAAATAAACAAACAAAGATTGCAACCTTAGTCCATGTCTAGAACTGTTTGGCTGTGGGTCATGCCATCTTCCCTGGGAAGCATGAGCACCAGTGGAGGTGAAAGCTCCCTCGGGAGTCATGAGACAACAGAATCTGGGACAGCAGAGTCTAACAGTGAAAATATATAGCACAACCCAGTGGGGAAGCAAGGCCCACTGATGTAGTAATCAAATGCCTCACACCTGGAAACACGGAAGGAGCTTCAGGACCACTTAAGCAACCAGGATTCTCAGATGAGGGGAACAAAGGGAACGCAAGGCAGACACCTGAGTGGTTTAAGCAGTTCTAATGGGGTTGTTTGTCTAGGTAATGACAATTAGATAGGAATAGATGATGATATTCATGATGATAACGAAGAAGAAGCAGGAGGAGGAGGAAGGGGAGGAGCAGGGAGAGGGAGAGAAAGAGAAAGAGAGACACAGAGATAAATTGCTCATAATATAATTCCCATTACATTGGGTGAGTTTGGCCATTCTTAATAAATTCTTAATAAATATTGGTATTTATGTAAATTTCTTGAAGATAAGAAATGACTCAAACACAAAGATAATGTAAGAAAGCAAGACTAAAATGCAAACTTACGAGGCAAGCTGGGTATTATTAACCAGGTATTCCAATGGATAGCTACAACTAAATTTGTAAAGAAGCCCAGGTAGATAGCTGATGATTGTTGGTGGGTCTGGAGTATCAATATATCCTGAAATATTTCCTATTTGTACTGAAGATGTGTTTCCGTAAGCACTGACTCCAGGAATTGTGGATACCTGTTAGAATGGTAAGTCAAATCTGTTAATTAAATGACTATGTATATAACAAATGCAAAAGAAAACACTAGACCAGATCATTTCTAGGGTCTAGTTAGCAACAAAATGCCATGGTTTTATACACATACAATGTTATTTATAAATGAATAAGGGTGTATTTTAATTAAATGAAACTTCATATTTATTTAAGGTACTCATATTTCACAAATAAGGAGGGAGATTATATGTTCAGAGGACTACAATTATTAAAATACTCATGAATTCTCTGGAATGGTTTAAAAGAAATGACTTTAATCTCATTGTCAAAAAATAATGCTCCCAACCCAAGCACCTTCATTGCTCTGGCTTCTGTGCATACTCCCTCAGTCACCTGCCCCCACTGCCTTCACTGTGGTGTATCTCACTCCTTCCTGGAGCTCATCTTCCCTGGAAAACTGTCCCTGCTTCCCCCACATGCACGCTCCATCACAACAGGAGGCTTGAAGAGCTTGCTGTCTTGCTGGTCCTCTCAACCTTCATCAGAACTCTTCATGGACAAGAGCCATCACAGCCTATTCACCTTTGCATCTTCAACAGAGCACAGTTATCTGCATCTTGGACCCCAAAAATATTTTTGAACAAAGCATGAAGATCTCAAATTTTCTGAGGATTATTTTTCTCAGGTTTTTCCTCTGTGGTTCAGAGAGTCTCATTCCCTTCTAGGACAGGAGTTCACAGATTATTTTTCAGGGGAAGCATAAATATCCAGAAGTTACACAAAAATATTGCCTATGTGTACATTTTGTTGGGGCTTTTTTGTTTTCACTGGACTCTCCAACCTTACTAAAATCAAAGCACTAGTATTTTAGGAAAGATTTGCAGCCATTTTGACCTTCATAAGACCAGAGGAGGACATAACTACTCCTACCATGTCAAATATAACAAGGTGCTCAATAAATATCCTTTGCAGTTATCACTGAGAACTGTAGCACTTAGTTTTCAACATTATAATAAACTTGATGGGTGAACCTAACAGCATATGAGCAAAGCTAAGGCAATTATCTACAAAGGAAGAAATGAAAATAAGTAAACCACTCCCTCCTCCCACTATTAGCCTGACTTGCTGGCTAAATACATCAATTCTACCTGTTGAAAAAATACACACACACACACGCACACACAGAACTTGTTCTCGGCTTTTTGACTGAATTGTTTTCTGGGTAGCAAGGCTTGGTGCCTTAAACCCAGAGAAGAAAACCATGAAGGAAAGGCTTCCGGGCATGAAGGGAGGGGTGGAAATGCTGTCAATCTGCGCACAGACTCCCTCCCTCAACAAGGAAACATAGGCATGTAATAATCAACCTGCCTCTTCTCCCTTAGGCTTGCTTCATAACTTTACTGCACACAACTCACGGAGATGAATAAACGTTTTTAATAAAAAGAGTCAACAATACCCAAGCTGCAGGCTTGGAAACGGTCATGGGCACAATATTCTAACTGTCCTCTGGGAAGAAGTACATAAGAAGGCTCAAAGAAATGTTTTTCCTGTCTTGCATCTCCTACCAACTCTTAGAAACTTTGTCTCTGGAATAATCAAGTTTTCCCCCGTATCCCAGGCAGTAATTTGTGAAGAGTAAAAGTCATGTGCAATGTATCGCCTTTTTGTCTTAGCTAGGATTTACCCATGAGATTATATCTAATCAAGCAAAACCAAAAATAGTACTAAGTGAATTTCAGTATAACTGATACCTCTCCCTGAAATCACAATATGAAGGCAAGTAAAAAAATTCATGGGGAAATGGAATTAAAAGATAAACTTGTTTGAATGTAAACGTTTTCCAAATTCACACAGGTTTTTTTTCATGATATGCATCTTTTATGAACTTTTTGAAGACCATATATTCACCTCAATTATTCAATTCTATTTTTGGTGTTCAAAGTGTTAATAAAGAAATGAATGATATAGACCAAACTCACTCAGGGTGGAAGTGTTCAAAGTGGTGTTTTGAGTTTCACAATGACTGGAGAGAATGTACCACTGGGATTCCATGGGTAAGATCAAATATAATAAACATGTTGAAATGCAAAGTTCAGTCTGACACAATGAAGAACTTCACACCAGAAACGTGGACAACTCTCTTTTATAAGCACTGGTGTCAACCATTCAATGACAAACATGAAAGAAAATTGCAAATTTCCCATTCTATCTTTGATCTTTCTTCCAGAATGAGTCACTGAAGCCACAGTCTAAGAGGTTCACCACCAAAGTCACTGGAACAAACATCCTTTCTATGAGCAGATTTTTCCAAAAACAATATGAGGAATATGGCTAATAATAAACTGTACAGAAATAGTCATCAGTCACTCACACAAAAGAATGTTGCCTAGGGTAGCACAGCTAACCTCAGCCCCCTCAACTGCCGGGGGAAGGCAGAACTGTATATTTAGGAGTGTAACCCTAAAACAGGCAAAGGAATGAGATTTGTTCCATTTTATTGGAATTTTTCTTGAAAGATAGATAGGACTTTTGATTATTTCATTAAATGGGAGTATTTTTATTTATGACCCCAGACTTAGCACACAATTTCACAGTCATCTTACCACTAAATTGTTTCCACAGCCCTCCAAGGTGCTGAGATTGATGATGAAAATGACCACTGCTGGAAAGGTGTTGTTATTGATGAAGCCCCTGCAGTGGGAATCCCCATGCCTCCCATTCAGTGCCAGATCTGTTTCAGAATAACCGGAGAAAAGCACCGTGCAAAAATTAATCTTCATCGTGATGGCCTGCACCCCACAGTAGACACTGATGTCTCGTTCAGCTGAATAAAAGCATAAGAAGCCAATGTAAGTCTCAATGGCGTAGTAGAGAGAACACAAATAACTTTAATATGCCTTTAAATATTTACTCATCTCCTTAGAAGTTTTAACTCATTTCTAGATTTGAATACCCCATAATACAATGAGCAAATTTATCCAGAAAATGGTTTCTGATTTAGTTATTTAGGGAGAGATATAAGAATGTAGGGATTACAGTTCATCTTTGCTTCCTTGCACCTGGTATTCAGCAGGTGTGAATTAAATGTCAGTCTAGTATTGTCAAATGATCAGAGAATTGAGGGGAAAAATTAGATTACTGTGGAAATTCAGAACTAGAGTAGCTGAATAATTCAGATCATCTGTCTAGTGTATGAAACTCAGTAACAATGCTGTGTTTTGCCAAGTAAAGGAAAAGAAGCAGTTAAATTCACCCAAAATCAAATAGCCACTTTAGAATCTGGTAACCCATTTTATACAAGATATTGTGACAAAATCCATCCAAAAAATTCTGTCTTATTTGTATAGATTGAAACCACTTTGAGGATAAAGGGGATGAAAAATTGTGCACTGATATTATTAACAAAAATGTACAGCTTTCTCAACCAAAAAAATTTGACAATGACTATTTGTGCCTCAATAAAATAATGAATTAGGCACAGAAATGTAAAACACAATTTGTATGGCACTCCTTGATGCCATGAGTTCTTAGTAAGGAGATATGTCCAACGTCTGTAGAAGTGAACTCACACACACATTCAAAATTTTCATACTTCTAGTTAGTTCTAAGTGTAGAACAAACTCTGTGTAGAAATGCAGAGTTTGGCTGCTATGTCATTCTCCACTGTCAAATGATTTTACTTTTATCTGATCTGGTGACTATTATGGGTTGAATTGTTTCCTCCAATATATATATATATATATATATATATATATATGTTAAGTCCTAACTGCCCATACCCAAGATGTTATTTGGAACCCCCTGCCTTGAGTTTGAATTTTTAACTAACTGTGACACAATAAATTTCAGTTGTTTTAAATCATCCACAAGACAAAAAGCTTCTGTTGTTTTAAGTCATCTTATTTGTGGTACTTCATCACGGCAACCATAGGAAACTAATACAGAAAACTTAGCACTTTTTAATAATCTATTTCAATAATTAGATATAGAAATCTGAAACAAGCATCAGATTTACAAAATGTGGGAAGATATAAACCAGACTGATTATACTATTTGGAGTGATGATTTTTATTTTTCAAAAGAGGATAACCAGGCCGGCGCTGCGGCTCACTAGGCTAATCCTCCGCCTTGCGGCGCCAGTACACTGGGTTCTAGTCCCAATTGCCCCTCTTCCAGGCCAGCTCTCTGCTGTGGCCAGGGAGTGCAGTAGAGGATGGCCCAAGTACTTGGGCCCTGCACCCCATGGGAGACCAGGATAAGTACCTGGCTCCTGCCATCGGATCAGCACGGTGCGCCGGCCGCGGCAGCCATTGGAGGGTGAACCAACGGCAAAGGAAGACCTTTCTCTCTGTCTCTCTCTCTCACTGTCCACTCTGCCTGTCAAAAAAAAAAGAGGATAATCAAACAAAATAAAATACATTCTGACAGATGATAGGATGTTAAGCAACATGAATATGTTATTCAAAAAATTTAGCATAAATTTAACTTGCATAAACATCTCAATCCTATAATAACAGTAAAACTGTTCAACATTATATTTATTTTCTGTACTTTTTTTTGTTTGGAAAATGCATTGTATTTTGTGGGCATGAAGAAGTCAACATGGAAATTTCTATCTTTGGTAATCATTTGAAACTAAAAATTACCCATAAAGAAAAATGAAAACTTTTACCATGGCTGAAAGGCAAATATTAAGCTAGATGGCATAAGAAATTCCAAGCAATATTTCCTTTGTAGGTGGAAAAATTAATTAATTATAAAGTATGCTTTGCCAACATAAAAGACAATGCATATTGTTTAAAATTAGGAAATATCTTTGCAGCCTTCTGTCGCTCCCCCTCTTCGTGGAGGAACGACACAGGACCCTGCGCTGTTCTTTCGTCTGCTCGGCCCTCCCCGGGTTTGCTGCTGGTTCTTCCCGGGTTGGCTACTATCCCTTCCACCTCCGTGGAAGGGCAGTTCCCCCTGGCCGCATTCCCCACTTCCGCAGGGGAGCGGCACACCGCCGGCCGGCTCTCTCGGGGGCTGCACAGGTGTTCCCTCAGATGTTCCCCTTAGATGTTCCTGGTGCATGCCATCTCTCTCCTCCTTTATAGTCCTCCTCCGCCAATCCATGCTCGGCTGCCCACACGCCGAGTACACTGCTCTCCTCCAATCAGGAGCAGGTCCTACAGTTTATTGGCTGAACTGGAGGCAGCTGTGCAGAATCTGTTTTCTTCTCTCCCAGCGCCATATTGTGGGAGAGCAGATGCATAGAATAAGTCTTAATTCCAGTAACAGTCTAGTCCGAGCTGCTCCCCACACCTTCAACAACATTGATTATTTAAATGCAAACATACCCCTCAAATGTATCTTTCCCTAAAACAATATAGTTCATTTTCACAATTATTTTTGAGTACTTATGGGCTTCAAAGTACATCTTAAATCTATTGACTTTTCTCAACTTATATGCTATTCCTTGACCCGTGTCATCAGTGTTTTCTCTTTGGTATATTGCATTAACTTCCTGATTCCTTTATTTCCACCTCTAATCCCCTTCAATTAGTATAGCTTTAATACTTTCATCTGGTTAAGTAAACTTCTTGCTCTAATTGACAAAAGCTACTCATTTCACTTAAAACAAAAGTCTAAAACCATTCAGGTCCTCAAGACTCTCCATGATCCCCTACCTGCTACCTCTGCATTTTCATCTCCCTCTCTTCTATCACCCTTAATCCATATATTTTTTTCTATCATTTCTTTGAGTGATCACAGCCAAAATAATGTAAACTTCCTGTGTGGGATTGTTTAGAATATGGGCTTCAGAAAAATTTGGGGGAGATGACAATGCTCTCTGTCTTGATTTCAGTGGGCATTATAGGAGTATATGCAGATGTTAACACTTGAAGTTATACTCTTAAAATTAGCCCATCTTCTTGCATGTAAATTATTCCAAAATAGCATACTGTAAGCTTTTAAATCACTATAAAAGTTTACACATATGGCCTTCATTTTTTTTTTGCCTCTATTTACAATAATCCTCCTACCTCCAAGCTTTTTGTAAGTAGCCACAACCCAGATTTCCAGGCCTCAGATTTCATTTTCTCTTCCAAAAGACTTCCCTGATCTGTATCTAACATATGCTACTCTGCTGTATGACATCATATGGCATAAGAAGTATATATATTTGTGTATTTTTCTTCTCAAATAAAAGTCTGAGGAGGCAGTAAAGCTATTATATTCACCGGTGTACTCCAGTGAGTATCTAATTAATTAATTACATAAATTGTTGGCCACAATAGACTGCACAGAAGATTCAAAAAGTACTGCCCCTGTCCTGAAATATAATATGTTACAGGAGATAGACATGATAACTTGGTCCACACTGGCAGATTGCATCAGAGCTATGGGGTGGCATAGAAGGCCAACATTGCCCAGACCAGCTGGTTGGGAATGGCCTGGAGAATGTGGTATTGAGCTTGGTTTTGATGTGTCAGTACATCATAAATAAGGAGTAAAAAACTTATAACACAAAGGAGACCAGATGAATAATGAAAAATGCTCAGACTGGTTAGGAGTTGGTTCATTTTCATTAAAATTTAAAATGGAAAAAAAAATGACAGGAAATGTGGCCAAATGGCAGGCACAGGAAAAAAAATCATAGGAGATGTCTACATGTAAAATGATCTCTTTAAAATAGCAAAATGTCTACCTGAATGTCAAATCAAATTCTCAACTATTAAAGAGCTTGCTAACAACTCTTTATGCCCAGTGAAATAGAGAACAAGTATTATTGCATTACTTGATATATCAGAAATACACAAAGTGGATACAAACTAAAAAATAATTTCACAAAAGAGGTTTTATTCTCCTTAACTTAAGCCAGCTAAAGACTTCAGTTTCCTCACCTCCTCGTGGGGAAATTCATTCTTGCTTAGAATACTTTGAAAATGGCAGTGCGTACATGGAGAGCTCTTTTCTGTGCTCTGCTTTATAGCGAAGACTTGTAACCCCTGCAATGGAACTGAATTTCCTAAAAGCTGATCCCACTTGAAGATATGATAACAAACAAAAGGCTTTATGTAGTGTAAGAAAAGCAATCTGTTCAAATCCATCCTAACCCAGTTTTCTAAAGACTTTTCACTGTCCTTCAGAGAAACACTGGTTATAGATACTAAAGATACCCATGCAGCACAACTTTGCCATTTCTGAGCCTTTCAGGGAGAAAAAAGATGAAGCTTCAAGTCCTCAAAGGGCAAAAATCTCTATTTTCTACCAAAATAACAGTTGTCCTCAATAATTAAATTTTTGAGTTTTTTACTGTCCATTCCTAGCCTGAAAAACAACATACTATTCAACAATACTTGAGTAGTAAACAACCAATGAACACAAGCAAACAAAAAAAAAAAGGATAAGTATTTTTGAGAGATTTGACTTCGATGTTCTGTGTTTAAAGATACTCAGTATGTGCAAATGGCACACCTGATTACATAGTTTATGTGCAATTATGTTTCAAAAATGGCCATTTTTCTCCCTGATATTTTTTCTTTGAACTTTTATTTTAATAAATATAAATTTCCAAAGTACAACTTTTGAATTATAGAGGTTTTTCCCCCATAACCTCCCTCCCACCCACAACCATCTCATCTCCCACTCCCTCTCCCATCCCATTCTTCATTAACATTCAGTTTCAATTATCTTTGTATATAGAAGATCAACGTATATAATAAGTAAAGATTTCAACAGACTGCACCCACACAAACACACAAAGTATAGAGTACTGTTTGAGTAGTAATTTTGCTGTTAATCTGCATAGTACAACACATTAAGGACAGAGATCCTACA